AAAAAAAAAAAAAACGAAATCAACCGTTTCACATTTCACTGTTACGAGATCGTAAACACGATTTTTTCGGCAATTTACAACTGCCTATACCATAGCACTGACAGTACCGCCACGGTGTTGTCGGACACACGTATGCGGCCGTGTCACAAAACGCAAAAGTACGTGGATAGTAATATACCGAGTCGTTACGTCATCAATAATGTTTGCAATATTACAGTATATACGTTACATTTGTCAAAAATGACATATGAGGGCGCACTATAATAACCGATTTTTTAATCGACAATATATATTTTTAATCAGGTTATAATACTATATAAACATTTGTTCGCCTGTAACGTCATGGGATGGAATAGGTTAAGATGGGATGGAATGAGGTGGGATGGGATGGGATGGGATTGGATGGGACGGGGGGATGGGGTGGGATGGGATGGGATGGGATGGGATGGGATGGGGCGGGGCGGGATGGGGTGGGATGGGATGGGATGGGATAGGATATGCAATTAATAGGATATTTTATTTGGAACATACGCAAAACAAAAGCTTTTGCAAAATCCATAGACATAAATAACAAAACAGAGCAGTTAAAATAATTTTAGGCCAAGAAAAAAAGATCTAATATACTGGAAATATAACTGTTGTTACTAGAAAGCACACAAGTAAACAACTCCTCATCGGACAGTTTGTCCATCTCTAGCACATAAATGAATAAAGCTAATTTTTTTTAATAATGTGATGCTCATATTTTGTGTCTCATCTCCTTGCAATTACAAAAATGGCACATTCATTCACCTCTATTGTTATATCGTATCAACTGCTCACGGGCCAATCTTATCGCACATCGATGGTTTAAAAAAGTGATGCTCAGGACGATGATTTTATCGACTATCATTTTGTTAACAATTATAAACAAACTCACCGATTATAAGACGTGAATTCGCCAACAGAGTGGCCACGTCACAGCACGTGTTGTAAATATAACATCGCTCCGAGCCTCATTAACCATATTGACCTCATATTGACCTCGAATTGAATCACGTTCCTGTTTACCATGGTGATGTATCCCTGGCAACTATGGGTTTACAGAAATTGGCGAGTATAATCACGTGACATGAATTATCTAAATTGCAAAGCACAAAATTTGCTGGAAAGACCATAAAACCAGCTCGACGCCTCGCGTTAATATTCGACGAATTATTCTGTGTTTTGTTTGCCTCTGGGTTTACAACTAAGTATTTACTAGTACTACATGTTTGGTGTAATCCACCGTATTATCGTAGCACACATGTCACCAGATTACAGTCATGAATATTGACATCATAACAACAATAAACATGTCACATCGTGCAAGGGTTTAAAATGTATGTAAAACATAGCTCTATTTGTGCTTCTTTTTCTACAAAATTTAAAAACTGTTATTATTTTTTGTAACGAGTTGTCGGCACAGTAAATTAGTAGGTTTGGGCAAACTTTGTAGCGTGTAACCGTGGCTTTCATCATTACCATGTTGGTGACTGCGATTGTCCGTCTTTCACAAAGCCATTATAGAAAGCTCATTATAAGTGACGAAACAGATTACGATTATGTCCAGGTATCCGTCTTGGATAGCAAGAATGTTAAAAATACTACGGGTTCTGAGTAAAATGTGTTTGGTCTATGTTAGGGTTACGAACTGATATAGTAATGCCCCTTTTCGAAGGCTAGCTGTTTGAGTATTGATACGCATTACCCAGATTTGTTTGAACTCAAAGCGATTAAAATAATATCCTACTTTGGGTTCTACTTTTCTTTTGTGTTTTTTTTTCTCACTGATCTATAACATATGTATTTAATTATTTCATTTGTATATACTTAATTTTTTTTTGTTTGCTGGCATTTTTAAAGTATGTGTCGATAGTTAAAATAATAAAATAAATTACAAAATAATAGAGAAATACAGTACAAATGAATTAAACTATGTAAAATTTAAAAATAAAACATATAAATTGTAATCAGATTAGGTAAACTGTACTGAGATAAGGCAGATGATATTTCAGTAAGGGGAATTGGTGAAAGGATTAACAAAGAAATGCTTATGTTTGAGTAATTGTTGTTGGGGCACACCGGCAACTTGTCAATGAACATTGACCTGTTGATAAAGTGTTGTATGAGTAATTATTTATTTTCAAAACTCTTAGCTAGTAGTCTCTGTGGCGCAATCGGTTAGCGCGTTCGGCTGTTAACCGAAAGGTTGGTGGTTCGAGCCCACCCAGGGACGGTCGTAATTTTAACAAACTTATACGAGTACTAGTATTCTGAATGAAAGCACACAGTCCATGAATTTTGCTGGAAAGTACTTAGTATATATAGTCTTATTTTTCACTCGTAGTTGTTGATAAATCTTCTGGTCCCATCAAGGAACGATCGTTATTTTAACAAACTTATATCATATTGTTTGTTTGGGATATTATGCGAGTATTCTGAATACAAGTAAAAGCACACCAAAGTTCATGATTTTTGCTGGAAAGTATATATAGACTTATTTTTAACTCGTGGTTGTTGATAAATCTACTGGTCACATTTGTCAACGTTATATTATCGGAAGAAATGAGTTGGTCTCATTGTTGGCGTTTACAATTCATCACCACCATATTTACTGACAATTGTGTGGCCAATGAACATTGAACTAATGATGGGTTTAAAGTTCATTGGATCATTTGGCGTAGAAGTCTCTGTGGCGCAATCGGTTAGCGCGTTCGGCTGTTAACCGAAAAGTTCGTGGTTTCAGCCCACCCAGGGACGGCCTTAATTTCAGTAAATTAAAAAAACTTTGCTTGGCTCTAATTATTATGTCACTATTTTTATTTAATGCACGTCTGGGTAATATTTTATTAGAATATCAATCAAAGGGGCAATG